TAGAGACAAATTCATTTGGGAACCCCGGATCGAAAAGGTTAAAATGCCAAAAAGGCTTAGGCCATAAATTTATAGACTCTTCCCGAAGGCTGTTCCGCAAAACGATCTTTTGGATCTTGATCTTGAAACACACACACCAAAATAAGAAAAAAAAAAACAGTATCCGATCGGATCGGATCGTGTTGCAAATGGGTTGGCACTTGGAACACTTGGTAGCCGGAGGAGTCCTTCTCTTTTTTTTTTTGGTGGCATTAGAATTGCTAAATGCTACAAGGATCCATTTAAAATACAACCAAAAAAAATAAAATAAAGGATCTGCTAGCAGGAAGGGTTCGATGTTTAAGCTTTTACACTACACTACATAATTTGTAAGGGAAGGATCTGAAGGATCTCCACCAGCACATTAGGTCATTTGGTCAGCTGGAATGGGCAAAAAAAAAAAGAAAGGGGGAAATGTAGCCGAAAGAGAAAAAAAACACCTGTTAGAAGCTCAAGCTTCCTTCCTTCCTTCAAACGGATGCATTCATCAATTTGGCAGTTTTTGGCCAAGAAGCAGAACCCCAAATAACAGGAAGCTTCCTTGTTTCTTTGACAAGGGTCCTTGTGCATCTGCTGCTATCGATAAAAGGTGTTCTCATCCTGCCTCTAACTCTTTAAACTCTCTATCATTTTATGATACTATGGTATTTTTTATACTCTTTCTTTTAAATGTATATACTTTTGATAGGAAATAACTTCAGTCTATGATTTTATTTAAACAAAGTCTTATCTTTTTATCAAAGACTATCGAAACTATCGGTTATAAGTATTTTTTTAATAAATTCTTTAAATATATACCCCAAAGAGTATCTAAACTTGAACTTTTTCTAAAGCAAACTATCCCTTTCCTGTTAGTGTCCCTTTTGTTTGAAAAATGTCCTCTTTTTTTTGCACATTTGAAAGAGATGCACTTGTCAGGGAGTGGAATTGATTAGCTGTCCGACAGCTAATCGATGACACTCCACCAAAATCGCATATATTTCCATCTAATTTTATTTTCTCCATGACGACGAGCCTATCGCTTATTTTCGATCTCTGAATTCTCGGGAATTGTAGTATTTGTCAACGTTTTTTGTTCGTTTCATGCTCTATTAAATTCTGTTCGACATTTGCAATCATTTTTTTGTGTTTTATTTTTGCGAAACTAAATGTTTCGATGGCTTTTTCAGTGGGTGGTTCAATGCATGCTATTTTTTTTTTTGTCAACTGGGTCATCAACCAGAGATTGGCAAAAAAAAATTCATGGGTCAACGGAGGGCGGAATATTGTCGATTAAGAAACTTTTGTTGAATGCTTCGATAGGTTCGATAAATATCGATAAAGAACAGATCGTTTGAACTTTTCTTAATTAAAATCAGTTATCTAATTGCTCGATCTAACAAATCCAATCAACTATATACAGTATAGGTATTACTTAATTTCTAAACAATAGCTAATCAAGGGAGAAGCAACAGCAACAACACCTGTTGCATGATATTGAGGTTAATATGCTGCAACATGATCGTCATGAACATCATCATTTCATTATAATTATAATTATAATTATACTTATAATTATGATCATGATCCATGCAAAGCAAAACCTCTTAGAGGAGACCCCAAGCACTTTAAACGCTTCACGTTGGGTTGGGTTGTCTGGATCTATTCATTGTTTGGTTATATATCGTAAGTATATGCATAGGGGTGATGTATAATAGTGCTTGTGTATTTATTTCCATACGTTTGTAAATGGGCAAAGCTGCTTGGAAAAACATTGCCGACTGTTTCAACGTGTTTGGCATTTGCAATTAGACATACAGAACACTGAAAAGAGTGAGGAGTAGGTTGGGTGGGTGGCTATATCGGGGTATATCGGTATATCGGTATATAGTCGTATGGGTGTGTGTATGTGCCGTCATCGAAGTCATCGCACATGCCAGGAATTTAATATGCGTTAAGTTTAGAATGCGTTTGGAATTTATTTGCCATCTCATTCTAACACTATCCTAGGCACTGAAAAAAAAATAAATTTTATTTATTAAATATTTTATATGGTATTTTATGAGTAAATGTTCATTTTTACTTACGATATGGTATGTTCTTTTAGTATATTTTGTGATATTCATATTTTTTATTTAGTATTTTTTCTCTTTCTATTTTCTTTTTATTTTTTTTTTCACTTTTTTTGTAATTTTCCATAAACAAAAAGTTGAATGCCCATGGTTAAGAAGTAGAAAGAAGGGGGGGCCTCCACCTGTTTTGGGAAGTCGTGGGTGTACGATAATTTACAATCAATACCCGCATTTTGTTTATAAATTTCTATGAATAAAACAAAAGAAATTAAAAAAAAAAAAACAAAAGAGTAAAAAAAAGTATATTATTTTATTTAATATTATAGATATAAACTATATCTTGAGCTTTGTTGGATAGCTATAGAATATATCATTCTCTTTACCCCCTTTTTTTCATCCAATTCTTTTATTCAATTTTATGGATATATATCTAACCGTGTATATATAATTTTTACGACGCATTTCGCGCTAGACAAAAAATAAAATAAAATCGTTGAAACTGCCGCACTGCCGTACTGTTGTCGTCGATTTCAGGGAAGGCATAAATTTAAAAGTTCAACAACAGTGCGAGAAGACAACGGCATGTAAATCAATTACGGTAAAGGATAAAACGTGCATTGAACTTTCGTTTCGAGAGATGGAACCAGATAAAGATAAACAATAGGGTTCTCTTAGATACATAGGTACTCCACTCCACTCACTTTGGGCAATGTTTGTAATTAGTTTAGCTAGAAAAAGTGTAATTGCCAGCGGTAAATAAAAAACCAAAAATAAACCAAAAAAATGTTTCTAATTCGCTTTTCTTACTTGGTTTTAATTACTTGGTGTTAGAGCGAGGTCAATGCTTGCTTTTGTTTTTATTTAAATTTATTTTTTTGTTGCGAGTTCGAGTTTGAGTACGAGTACGAGTACGAGTTCGAGTACAACTTCAATTGAAATTCATTTCCTCATGTCAACAGTAAAAATAAAAATAAAAGGAAAATGATAAACAAAAAAAAAACAAAAATACTACAAAAGATACATGCCTTTTTTTTGCATTTCAAGCTCAAACATGTTTTCATGTGTTGTATTTGTATTTGTAATTATAAAGCATTTTACAATTCGCCTTGACCTTAACACAATAAAATAAATTACAACTATGGCAATACAGGTACATACATACATACAATATCTAATATTAAAAGCCACTTGAACAATGTTGCCTCTATATGGGCGTGTAACAAAATAAAGCCTTTGGCATGTGGGCGTGGCTTGTGGCTATTAGCCCATTAATAAGTAAACAGCATGTCAAGTATTTGTCGAGTAAAAAAATTTATATTTTTAATAAAGTAAAAAACAAAACTACACTTGAAGAAATCTTTATAAAAGTCTAAAAACTTTTTTTAAAGTTTTTATTTCATTTAAAACATTATCTTTCTGATTAGTTTTCTTCAGTGTATTCAATGCACATCTATGTAAGTAGGTAACTGTATTTGTGTAGATGACGACAGTTAGAATTTATGCGACTGCGATCGCGACTGCAGGCTGGCCATGACCAACAGAGCGAGAGAGGTGCATGCGTGCTTGGCATTTGTAATTTTACATCACACACACACACGCACACCAGCAAGACGAAGGGCTTACAACAACAACAACCCTGGCAATTAAATCAACAAGCCCACCCACACACCCACAGGCCCAGAAAACACAAAAAACAAAAAAAAAAAGAAAACCTTGATCTTGATCAAAACGAAATAGCAACAATAAAAACAAGAAGAAGGAGAAGAAGAAAAACTAGTACTTGTACATACATTTACATTTACATTCATAGATACTTTTGTAAGAGTAATGCAGCTGGTGTTTGCCTTTGTTGTTGCTTTATTTATTGCACTTGTTTTGATTTAAAGCCAAGACTGCTTTTGCGGCCAAGTTTTAGTGGCTAACCTTGTCTTTGCCCGTTTTGTGTGTTTGAGAACCTCGCACTTGCACTTGCAATTGCAGTTGCCGATTGCCAATTGCCAATTATACGACCGCAATTGTTTAATGGCCATTAAATCGTTACATATGGACGCACATGTGTATTTGTTTGTACCACCCCCATGCGTTAGAGGGCGCTTGCGGCATTAATTAATTATCCACCAAATTACAGCACCTGTTGAGGGTGTAATGACGATAAAATATGAATTAATTTCATCTAATTTCATTAAATTTATATAATCTAACATCTATAATAGTTATTTTTGTTTATTTTGGGTTAAATAATCGAATTTAAGGGCCAGTATAAGAGTTTATAGGACACTTGTCGGTAGGGGGCGCGGTAGGAGGGGGTGTGCACACACACAACCGCCAAAGCTTACCTTTAGAACTCAATAAGAATGAATTCTATAAAAAAAATCAACTAATCAATAATTTTTTTATTTGTATTTTTACATAAACTCTCAGTTCTAGTCAAAATAAATGATTTTTATATATATGAATATTTCATAAATTTTGATATCGAAATATAAGAACATGTGTACGCACTTGTAGTTATCTATTTGGCAACTCTATTCAAATTTTGATTACAGTTAGGATCAAGGCGTCGTTCTCACTTGAGCATTGCACACCGCAGCGAAAAAAGGTTTAAAGGAGATGGCGCATAGAAATAATTCCACTCGTTCCTTACAGTTAAATCGAGATCGGCGAGGTGTTCGGACGCATTATTTAAAAAAAAATAATCTTTCTCTATTCTTTTCGGTGATTTCAATCTCATATTGTAGCTTCTTCTTCTTCTCGAAAGTTCCTTGACTTCTAACACACCATACCATTACACACACACACACATACATACATATCTGTATAATTTTCGATCTATATTATTTTGTGAGTATTATTATTAACGCAATATTAATTCATAGCTTTTCTTGCTTTTCTTTTTGTGTTTTCTTGCAGAAATTGTCGCTGCAGAATTGCTACTGCGCTTGAGCAGCCCCAACACCGTACCCACCACCACCACCACCACCAATAGTAGCTTATCTACCAATACCGCCACTACCACCTCCGTTTTAGCCACAAAAGACTGCCCCGATGATCTAGATACAACAACAACAACAACACCAATAACACCTAAAATAGTTGAAACAATAGCCCCAACACCGACAGCAACAGCAACAACAACCACAAGCATACCAAAGCAGCCACAAGAGGAAGAGGAAGAAGAAGAAGCAGCAACCCTAGAAGCAGCGCCGTCAGCAGTGACAGCGCTAGATGCAGAGAAAGAGAGGAAGCAGCACGAAGAAGCTGAAGCAGAGGCCGAGGTCGAGGTCGAGGAGGACGAAGAGGACGACGAAGTGGATGTGGGTGTAGAAGCGCCCCGTCCCCGTTTGGTACTCACCCAGGCCCAGCGCAAAGAGTATCCCCTACCGGCGCTGCCCCAGGCACATCCCCTCTCACTCACCACCACCGCCGCCCGCTCACCCGTTTCGGATTCGCTGAGCGACTCAGACACGGACTCCGATTCCGATGGCGGCTGCAAGCTAATCGTGGACGAGAAGCCCCCACTGCCCGTGGACAAGCCGTTGTCGCTGCGCCTGCGCAGCACGCCGCCACCGGCCGAGAAGCGTCCGAGTCCGCCGCCGCCGCGCGATCCGGCGCCCGCCGTTCGTTGCAGCGTCATCCAGCGTGCACCGCAATCGCACCACATCCCGACCACACCGATCTCGCGCGGTTTCCCCCTCGACCAGTTCGGACCGGAGCAACAGGAGCCGATCGATTACCACGTGCCGAAGCGGCGAAGTCCCTCCTACGACTCGGAGGAGGAGCTGAACACCAGGCGGCTGGAGCGAGCGCGTCAGGTGCGCGAGGCACGCCGTAGAAGCACCATCCTTGCGGCCCGGGTACTCCTGGCCCAGTCACAGCGCCTGAATCCCCGATTGGTGCGCTCACTGCCCGGCATTCTGGCCGCTGCAGCCGGACACGGTCGCAGCAGCAGTTCGAACGGTGCCGCCGGCCAGGGATTCCAGTCCTCTGGTTTCGGTAGCAATAACAGCTCCGGCGCCGGTTCCGGCAGTGGTCAGAACGCCGGCAGTGGTGCAGGATCGCCGGGAGCCGGCGGTTTTGGCAGCGGAGCCGGAGGCGGGGGCATGGGCGGCGGTCGCGACGGGCGTGGCAACTACGGACCCAACTCACCGCCCACGGGAGCACTGCCTCCGTTCTACGAGAGCCTGAAGGGCGGCCAGCAGAGCACGGCCAGCAATAATACTGGCCAGAGTCCGGGCAACCATCATTCGCACTTCAACGGCAATCCGGCCAACTTCTTGTCGCTCCAGAACGCCGCAGCAGCAGCGTACATCATGTCAGCCGGCGGTGGAGGCGGAGGAGCTGGATCGGGAGCAGGAGCAGGACCAGGTGCAGGTGGCGCCGGCGGTGGAGGTGGCGGAGGAGCCGGAGGTGGTGGTCCTGGCGGTGGTAATGGTGGCTATATGAATTGTGGTGGTGGTTCGGCCCCCGGAATCGGTGGCAACCAGAACCTCGACGGTAATAATCTTTTGAACTTTGCCAGTGTTTCCAACTATAACGACTCCAATTCCAAATTCCATAATCATTCCAATTCACAATCCTCGATGATGGCGCATCCCTTTTACGGTGGCAATCCCTCAGCCTACGGCATCATCCTCAAGGACGAGTCGGACATCGAGTACGACGAGGCCAAGATCGATATAGGTACCTTTGCGCAGAACATCATCCAGGCGACGATGGGCAGCACCGGGCAGTTCAATGCCAGTGCCTACGAGGACGCCATCATGTCCGATCTGGCCAGTTCGGGTCAGTGCCCGAACGGAGCGGTTGATCCGCTCCAGTTCACGGCCACTCTGATGCTCAGTTCCCAGACGGATCACCTGCTGGAGCAGCTGTCGGATGCCGTGGATCTGAGTTCCTTTCTGCAGCGCAGCTGTGTGGACGATGAGGTCTCCACCAGTCCCCGGCAGGACTTTGAGCTGGTCTCCACGCCGTCCCTGACTCCCGATTCGGTGTCTGTGACGCCGGTGGAGCAGCACGGCGGCAGCAACACCACCCAGTTGGATGCCTTGCACGAGAATCTCCTCAAGCAGCTGACCCACAACATGGCCAGGAATACCAGCAGCCAGCAACAGCAGCCGCAGCACGTGCAGCAACATGTCCCACAGCAGCACAGTGTCCAGCAGCAACATGGTGTACCGCAGCAGCAGCAGCAGCACAATGTCCAGCAGCAGCACGTCCAGCAGCAGCAACAGCAGCCGCCGCCGCCCTCGTACCAGCACGCCACCCGTGGCCTGATGATGCACCAGCAGCCGCAGCACGGCGGCTACCAGCAGCAGGCCGCCCTGATGTCGCAGCAGCAGCAGCAGTTGCTCAGCCAGCAGCAACAGTCGCACCACCAGCAGCAACATGCCGCCTATCAGCAACAGCAGCAACATAACCTCTACGCCCAGCAACAGCAGCAGCAGCAACACCACCATCAGCAGCAGCAGCAGCAACACCATTTCCACCACCAGCAACAGCAGCAGCAACAGTCGCACCACTCGCACCATCATGCCCATCACGACAACAGCAACATGTCGCTGCCGTCACCGACGGCGGCAGCTGCTGCGGCTGCGGCGGCTGCTGCTGCTGCCGCTGCTGCGGCCGCTCACCTGCAACGGCCGATGAGCAGCAGCAGCAGCTCGGCCGGCACGAATAGCAGCAACAGCAGCAGCAGCGCCAGCAACCTCGACCCGAATGCCGCCGCCGCGGCAGCAGCCGCCCTCCTGGACACCAAGCCGTTGATCCAAAGCGTAAGTTGCTCCTCCCTACCCACACAGCCGAACCAATTTCAGTCACAGCACCAGAATCAGAGCAAACAGCAGCCACAGCCAGTCCAGTACCAGGAGCAGCAACAGGTATCCTTGCCGCCATTGAAGCATCTCACTGTCTTGAAAACCAGCACCAGGAACACCACCCAGTTCGGGGATGTGGTGGCCGGCGGCGACTGTCTGGTGATCAAGCCCGAACCAGAGTCCGAACAGAAGACAGAGCTAACGAAGATGACCACCGTGGAGTGGCCGATAAAGGTGGAGATGCCTCCGGTGGCGGCCAACGCCACAGTAACCTCGGTGGCCAGCGAAGTCTCGCCGCCAGTTGCCGTCATCATGCCCACTGGGGTGGCAGGTGGCACCCGAAAGATGCGCGGTCGCATCAAAGCGGTGGAATATGGCTCCGCCACTGTGACCATGGTGTCCAATTTTAAGGCATCGCCCGAGGTGCCGGCCACGAGGACGGTGCACCGCACCACACTCCGATCCCTGGCCTCGGCGGCGGCGGCCACGGCAGCAGGATTGCTGGCGCCATCGCCGAGCGTCTCGGTCCTGAACGAAAGCAAGCTATTGCAGCGGCGCGTAAGTGGGCGGTAGTCGGTGGGAAGATCTATGTCTGTGGAGCGTTCTTGTAGTCCTTGTTTTGATCCTGTTCTTTGTCCTGTTTCTGTGATTGTCTTTGATGTCTGTTTTGTCCCCAAACCCACCTCCCAATGGCCACTAAAGTGTATATTCCTCTATCCTACAGTTGGGCTTGCCACCGGATCTACAGCTGGAGTTTGTGAACGGGGGGCATGGCATCAAGAACCCTCTGGCAGTGGAGAACTCCCATGGTGGCCATCACCGTATCCGCAATATCGATTGCATTGATGATCTCAGCAAGCACGGCCACCACTCCCAGCAGCAGCAGCAACAGCAACAGCAGCAGCAGCAGGGCTCCCCGCAACACCAGCAGCAGAGTATGCAACAGTCGCAGGTGTCCCAGCAGCAGCAGCAACAGCAATCCCTGCAACAGCAGCAGCACAACCATCAGCATCACAGCAACAGCAGCGCCAGCAGCAATGCCAGCAGTCATGGCTCCGCGGAGGCCCTGTGCCTGGGCTCCGGATCGGGCTCGGGAGCGGCCAACGATGAGTCGGGCAACAACAAGTTCGTGTGCCGTGTCTGCATGAAGACGTTCTCGCTGCAGCGGCTGCTCAACCGGCACATGAAGTGCCACTCGGACATCAAGCGGTATCTGTGCACGTTCTGCGGCAAGGGCTTCAACGACACCTTTGACCTCAAGCGGCACACACGCACCCACACCGGCGTCCGGCCCTACAAGTGCAACCTGTGCGAGAAGAGCTTCACGCAGCGCTGCTCCCTGGAGTCGCACTGCCAGAAGGTGCACAGCGTCCAGCATCAGTATGCGTACAAGGAGCGCAGAGCCAAGGTAGGTTGAAGGACTCATCTCGGAAGTCCCGAAACTAATAAGGATCTTTGTCTTCATTTTCCAGATGTATGTGTGCGAGGAGTGCGGTCATACCACCTGCGAACCGGAGGTGCACTACCTCCATCTGAAGGACAACCATCCCTTCTCGCCGGCGCTCCTCAAGTTCTACGACAAGCGGCACTTCAAGTTCACCAACTCGCAGTTCGCCAACAACCTGCTCGGCCAACTGCCCATGCCGGTCCACAACTAGGATGTGTCCCCATTTGTCCCCCGAGAGCCTTAGGATACAGATCCTACTAGATAGTATGCGAAATAATTGTGACTTTGAAGTTTTTTGAAAACTGCCTCCCCCCCCCCCCCACCCCCCGCGAAGAAGGTAAACCCTGCCCGGTAAACGGAAACGGAAACGGAATTTTTGGAGATTATGATTATGTATATTTTTGCCTAGCTTTTTAAGGAATTTATCGTTATCGAAATTATATATATATATATATATATATCGCGATATACATCATTGCTAGCCCCAGCCCACACACTCACACACACACACACACTCACAACGCGTTCAAGGAGCTTGCTTTTTGATCCTTAATCCTTAATGTTTTGTAGTAAATCTTGAATTTTACGTTTATTGATTTTTTTTCTTTTTTATATAAGAACTGCTTTCTTAGTCAAAAAATTTTCGTTTATTATTTAAGATATATATTGAAAAATGCTTTGAGCAGAAACACACACACACACCCACACATACACACACATTATTATGAATTATAATCCCAAAATTATAAATATTTTATAATGAAAATATTAGTTATTTAAGAGCGCTACCAACCGAACAAGCTGCAAACGTTTGCATTTATTTTTTCTTTTTAAAACAAATTCTTATTGAAAGAGAAGAGGATTTTGAAGAAACATTTAAGCATAAATAATTTATTAACTAATATCACAAACCACACACACTACACACACACACCGCACACACACATTATGTAAAGAGGCAACAATGTTCGACTTAATTTGAACTAAACTTAAACTAAACATATAGCTTAGGGTTAAGTGCAAAAAAAATGCGAAAAACAAACAACAATTTATGTAAACTAAAGCTGTTCATTAATGAAGTCAACGCCCACTAATTAATAAAAAGAATATAATTATAATTTTTTTTTAAAGAAAAGAAAAGGGCCTCCCCCCTAAGAAAAGCGAAATTTTTTCATTAATTTTAGTTTTTAGAAAAGACCACCAATTGTACTGATCTTTAATGAACAAAACAAAAATTAACCACTAAACGATTAACCTTTAAACTCATGCATATATATTATTATATATATTACGAATTAAGTTAAGTTTTAAGTTAAAAAAACAAACAAAAAAAACAAGAAAAAGGAAGTTGTGAAATCGAATTTGAGTTTATAATTTGATTGCCGAGAGAAAAAAGAGCGAAAAATAATCATTATTTGGATTGAAACTCCAATTGTAGAATGTAAACTGCATTAAAAATTTTCTGTTTTATTTTTAAGCATTTTTTTTCGTCGTCATTTAATTAATTTTGTAAGCAACAACGGGTTTTTTGTGCAATCGCTTGGTGTTGGTTTAACGTAATAACTGAAAAAGAAAAAACATGGAAATATATGTTAGTTGAAGGACAAATCTGATTTAAGGAGTTTAGGATTAGAGCATTAACTTGTGGAAGGGGCTGTGCCCTGTGGCGCCACGCCCACCGCCCGCTGCACAGCCCCCTCAGCGCCCCAAACAGAGGGAATATAGACATTCAGACCCTCACAAGATTTAGGTTTAATCTAGAAAACTTTCACTCACACAAAACCACACACCTACACACTAAATATATATTATATATAATATATATATTATAAAGATAATATATCTGATCCGCACACACAACACATACATATTAATTACCTTACTTAGTTAGTTAGTTTAGGCCAAATTCCTCGTAATTCGAAGGCAACTTTCCAAATTTAAAAAAAAAAAAAAAATCTTTAAAAAGAATTCGAAATTTACAAAAAAAAAGACAAATCTTAGACTTCCAAGAAAAATTACAAATTTTTTTTATAACTCGAATTTTGTACGGAAAAAAATTACAAAACCCTTAATGAATAAACAAGTATGTATTTAACAAAACTGAAGAATCGGCAAGAAAATTTAAATTAGTTGTTAATGAAACGAAAACCTTTTTTTTTAAACTATCATTTATGTATACTATATATAAAGATATGAAAAGTGAATTAATTAATAAATATTAAATATGACAAAATAATTTTACAAAACGTGTTTGTTTTTAAAAAAATAGTGTTTTTGGGAAGAAGTTCCAAAATCCTGATGGTACCCCTTGGAAAATCGAGAATTCTGTTTTTCGTCAGTTTTTGGAAGATATCTTTAGTATTTCTTAACCGATTCCAAATCGGAGTACCATTTATGAATCAGGGATCTATCCTTCGTCGATCTGCATTTAAGGATTATTAAAATCCTGCAAAAAAAATTTTGACCAAATTTTTGGCCAAAATCCTTATGGTACCCCTTGGAAAATCGAGAATTCTGTTTTTCGTCAGTTTTTGGAAGATATCTTTAGTATTTCTAACCGATTCCAAATCGGAGTACCATTTATGAATCAGGGATCTATCCTTCGTCGATCTGCATTTAAGGATTATTAAAATCCTGCAAAAAAAATTTTGACCAAATTTTTGGCCAAAATCCTCATGGTACCCCTTGGAAAATCGAGAATTCTGTTTTTCGTCAGTTGTTGGAAGATATCTTTGGTATTTCTTAACCGATTCCAAATCGGAGTACCATTTATGAATCAGGGATCTATCCTTCGTCGATCTGCATCCAAGGATTCTTAAAATCCTGCAAAAAAAATTTTGACCAAATTTTTGGCCAAAATCCTTATGGTACCCCTTGGAAAATCGAGAATTCTGTTTTTCGTCAGTTGTTGGAAGATATCTTTAGTATTTCTTAACCGATTCCAAATCGGAGTACCATTTATGAATCAGGGATCTATCCTTCGTCGATCTGCATTTAAGGATTCTTAAAATCCTACAAAAAAAATTTTGACCAAATTTTTGGCCAAAATCCTTATGGTACCCCTTGGAAAATCGAGAATTCTGTTTTTCGTCAGTTGTTGGAAGATATCTTTAGTATTTCTTAACCGATTCCAAATCGGAGTACCATTTATGAATCAGGGATCTATCCTTCGTCGATCTGCATTTAAGGATTCTTACAATCCTGCAAAAAAAATTTTGACCAAATTTTTGGCCAAAATCCTTATGGTACCCCTTGGAAAATCGAGAATTCTGTTTTTCGTCAGTTGTTGGAAGATATCTTTAGTATTTCTTAACCGATTCCAAATCGGAGTACCATTTATGAATCAGGGATCTATCCTTCGTCGATCTGCATCCAAGGATTCTTAAAATCCTGCAAAAAAAATGTTGACCAAATTTTTGGCCAAAATCCTTATGTACCCCTTGAAAAATCGAGAATTCTGTTTTTCGTCAGTTGTTGGAAGATATCTTTAGTATTTCTTAACCCATTCCAAATCGGAGTACCATTTATGAATCAGGGATCTATCCTTCGTCGATCTGCATCCAAGGATTCTTAAAATCCTGCAAAAAAAATGTTGACCAAATTTTTGGCCAAAATCCTTATGGTACCCCTTGGAAAATCGAGAAATCGAGGAGTACCATTTATGAATCAGGGATCTATCCTTCGTCGATCTGCATCCAAGGATTCTTAAAATCCTGCAAAAAAAATTTTGACCAAATTTTTGGCCAAAATCCTTATGGTACCCCTTGGAAAATCGAGAATTCTGTTTTTCGTCAGTTTTTGGAAGATATCTTTAGTATTTCTTAACCGATTCCAAATCGGAGTACCATTTATGAATCAGGGATCTATCCTTCGTCGATCTGCATCCAAGGATTCTTAAAATCCTGCAAAAAAATTTTGACCAAATTTTTGGCCAAAATCCTTATGGTACCCCTTGGAAAATCGAGAATTCTGTTTTTCGTCAGTTGTTGAAAGATATCTTTAGTATTTCTTAACCGATTCCAAATCGGAGTACCATTTATGAATCAGGGATCTATCCTTCGTCGATCTGCATTTAAGGATTCTTAAAATCCTGCAAAAAAAATTTTGACCAAATTTTTGGCCAAAATCCTTATGGTACCCCTTGGAAAATCGAGAATTCTGTTTTTCGTCAGTTTTTGGAAGATATCTTTAGTATTTCTTAACCGATTCCAAATCGGAGTACCATTTATGAATCAGGGATCTATCCTTCGTCGATCTGCATCCAAGGATTCTTAAAATCTTGCAATAAAAATTTTGACCAAATTTTTGGCCAAAATCCTTATGGTACCCCTTGGAAAATCGAGAATTCTGTTTTTCGTCAGTTGTTGGAAGATATCTTTAGTAGTTCTTAACCGATTCCAAATCGGAGTACCATTTATGAATCAGGGATCTATCCTTCGTCGATCTGCATTTAAGGATTCTTAAAATCCTGCAAAAAAAATTTTGACCAAATTTTTGGCCAAAATCCTTATGGTACCCCTTGGAAAATCGAGAATTCTGTTTTTCGTCAGTTTTTGGAAGATATCTTTAGTATTTCTTAACCGATTCCAAATCGGAGTACCATTTATGAATCAGGGATCTATCCTTCGTCGATCTGCATCCAAGGATTCTTTAAATCTTGCAATAAAAATTTTGACCAAATTTTTGGCCAAAATCCTTATGGTACCCCTTGGAAAATCGAGAATTCTGTTTTTCGTCAGTTGTTGGAAGATATCTTTAGTAGTTCTTAACCGATTCCAAATCGGAGTACCATTTATGAATCAGGGATCTATCCTTCGTCGATCTGCATCCAAGGATTCTTAAAATCCTGCAAAAAAAATTTTGACCAAATTTTTGGCCAAAATCCTTATGGTACCCCTTGGAAAATCGAGAATTCTGTTTTTCGTCAGTTGTTGGAAGATATCTTTAGTATTTCTTAACCCATTCCAAATCGGAGTACCATTTATGAATCAGGGATCTATCCTTCGTCGATCTGCATCCAAGGATTCTTAAAATCCTGCAAAAAAAATGTTGACCAAATTTTTGGCCAAAATCCTTATGGTACCCCTTGGAAAATCGAGAAATCGAGGAGTACCATTTATGAATCAGGGATCTATCCTTCGTCGATCTGCATCCAAGGATTCTTAAAATCCTGCAAAAAAAATTTTGACCAAATTTTTGGCCAAAATCCTTATGGTACCCCTTGGAAAATCGAGAATTCTGTTTTTCGTCAGTTGTTGAAAGATATCTTTAGTATTTCTTAACCGATTCCAAATCGGAGTACCATTTATGAATCAGGGATCTATCCTTCGTCGATCTGCATTTAAGGATTCTTAAAATCCTGCAAAAAAAATTTTGACCAAATTTTTGGCCAAAATCCTTATGGTACCCCTTGGAAAATCGAGAATTCTGTTTTTCGTCAGTTGTTGGAAGATATCTTTAGTATTTCTTAACCCATTCCAAATCGGAGTACCATTTATGAATCAGGGATCTATCCTTCGTCGATCTGCATCCAAGGATTCTTAAAATCCTGCAAAAAAAATGTTGACCAAATTTTTGGCCAAAATCCTTATGGTACCCCTTGGAAAATCGAGAAATCGAGGAGTACCATTTATGAATCAGGGATCTATCCTTCGTCGATCTGC